TGGCTTCTATGATATCATAAGTTAGATGAACTGGGCCTCAAATAGATTTTGCAAGGCAACTTCGGGTTATGCAGCAGCTTCTATAAAAGGAATTCCTTTTTTGTGCACACATATGTCGGATCGAAGGACTTTAACATTTGGGTAAATGCGTAATACTCGTCTTATACTGTCAATATGATCCAAATTTCAAATGCATTTTTGCAAAGGCAGTTTCATTTTGACGGACAAGAAGCCAATTATACTCTTTTCACTGTGTGAACAGTCAAAAGTTTTATTTTAATCCGACTTTTTCCGTTTTTCAACATATCTTTCCGACTAAAGTAGGCATTTACGAGTTATAGCTCCATGCATCCGACTACTATGTGCATGACGATAAAGAAAGAGCCTGTCTGAGCGTTGAACTAACAAAAGAGAGGTTGCCAGTTCAAATCCATCAGCAATTGAAAATTTTAGAAGTTTTTTTTTATGTTCACAAAAGCAAAGCGACATGAGAGTCAAAGTTGAGAGTTCAAACCTCTGTGAACATTTATCTCTCATGTCTACAGGGATTCGATCTCTCTCTTTTCTTAAAATAAAAAGCTTCGTTCTTCAAGATATCGTGAGCAAATGCAGCAAACGACGAGCTTCATAAATCTCCTGAGATGTCTGTAAGGCCGTAACAAATAGTAGAATATAACTCCCAAGTGAAAAATCGGTCAGAAATAAAGCTTCTGGACTTTTAAGCCATATGTTAAGTTATTTGGGAGTTCCTTCCTCCTGTTACTCTCAGCTTTGCCGTAGATACTTAAACGTCCGGCTTCATTCGGCATCTGGCCGGCGTGAACCTTTCTCTGACCCTGGCTCTGGCCGCGGCTCTGCTTCAGCTGCCCTCAATCAGATCATAACCCATTCCATTGAAAATTGGCCATGTTTGATGTGGGTGGCCAGCGAAGAGTAGCATCCACTTTTTGTCCGGCACATTTTGTTCTTTTCTGTTGCGTACGTGCGTCGAGCCGAATGCTGGCAAATAATAAATAAATATATGTATATACACATGTGCTTAATATCCTTATGGGCCTGCTGGCATGCTGGCTGGCCGCGCTGCTCATGTATTTTTTACGAGTCTTTGCGCCAGGACAAAGGTCAGCGTGAGTGTGTGTGTGTTTTTTTTGTGCAATGGATTTGTTGTTGTTTCTGTTGTTGTTCTTGTTGGCCTTTGTCTCGCTTATTTGCGGTTTTTTTATGTAATCTCACGTTTGACGTATTGGTTTCAATATGCCCCGACTCCCTCCGGCAGCGTCTCGGGCTCAGGCTGAGGCCAAGCTGTCGGAATTGCAACGACTGCCTGCATTGGGTGTGGTCCAGAGCGGGCTCTCCACTCAGGCAGCGGCAACACGTACCACGCACTATGCTCCTGGCCCTCATGGCAAAGCGAGAGGGAGATCGAGTGCGAGTGAGAGGGCGTGTGGATGCAACACATCAAAATCAATCAGCTGAGCCTTTTGTTATTCACATTCGACACGGCTGCAGCGCCGCAAATTGACAGCTAGAGCCATCGACCAGACGCCCGACCGCCCGCCCGTCCGACAGCCCGCCGCCCTCTCTCGCCAATTCCACAATCAGAGAAGTCTATTGTTTTATAGAGACTCGCATATGCAAATGGTATAGACCAACCCCCGCCCATGGACATGGCCTAATCAGAGCGCAGCATTTGTTGCGGCAGCACTTGTCAAGCGATTCGTTTTGGTACCAGAATTTGATTATGGCGGCTCCCTCAGAGCAGCCCATGCTCTGGTCCAGCACTTTTATGGATTTTGACTGCTACTAAATTGATCTTAGAGCAATAACTGTCAATGGCTAATGAAGACGATTGCCTCAGTGAGCCCCCATTTCAAAGTGCGACGAGAATCTCAATTCGATGGCAACCGTTTTGGGTATGCAACAAATGAACAGACGTAATAATAGCTGGGTATATATATTAAATATAATATGGCTAAAAGATTAGCTCTATATATTATTTATCTTACATCTTAACGAGGGGCTCGATTCAACCTAGTTGCAATATAAGGAAAAGACAACTTAAATATGCCAAATATTCTTACTGCGGAGTGTTTTATAATTTTCACACTTGGTACACAAATATTTTTAAGAAATAAATCTACAAAATTGCTCAAATACATTCAATGCAAAGCCAAAATCTGATTGTTGCAGAAATTTAGCCACCGAAATCCATTTCTAATGTCAAAATCGGATGTGCCTCCGATTTCTCAGACAATTCAGACATTTCTTCAGCTACACGTGTAATTGAGCTAAGTTTCTAGTTTATGTATGTTTTATATATACATATATATATTGTATATATTCTATATATGCTGAAAGGCACTTGAAAATGCGGCACGCATTTTTGGTGTCGCGATCCGTTTTGAGCAGAGAGCGTGTTCAGTGTTCGTTGTTTGGTTGTTCCATTGAAAATTGATTAAACGGGTATAATGTTTTTGTGCAAGAATATGTAACACGGCAGTAGAAAGCGCAACGAAGCTCATTAAGTATATCTGCATATGCCCGATCTCGGAAACAACAATAGCTAGAGTCTGGTAGTTTTAAATAACTATTCCCATATATTATACGCAGAAGGAATTCATCAGTCTACCCCGATATCTTCGCCCATTTTTATAATTTCGATAATTATCGATATTTCAACTTGGTTATTTAAGCATAACTCGAGGGTTACAGGAGCTAGATACAACAAACTTGGTATGTAGATATACGTAAAGCATATGCAGACTAAAATTGTTCACTTTTTTGATAGATCGCCCCGTTCCAGCTCAAATTGGAAAAGGGCACTCGTTTGTAAAGGTTGAGCCTTGCCCTTGGGTATATACACACTTTTGTTTGCCATATTTGGGCCCTGAAAATGTTGAAAAGATCACACTATAAGCAAAAAAGTTAACCAAGAGTGCAAATCTCATAGTGTGCGGCTAAGGGTAGAAGAAGCATAACTGCAGCATACGTATGTTAGTAGGCATGTGGAATGGCGGCTTGGTCAGGATATCTCCTAGTCGGGCAAACCCGCCTACAGCACTCTTACTTGTTTTTCGGTGATTCGTTTAGGTCGGTGTTTGAAGCGCCAGCATTGTTGATGGTCGCGACCAACTGCAGGATGTTTATCATTGTCACTTGAATCTCAAGTTGTCTAATTCCCGTTGCATCAGCAACGTTCACTGTTCGCGGGGGTGTGTAAGACACACACACGCACACACAGGCACACACATACACATACTCGTAGACATATGTATGCCCTGATTCCGCCTTATAAACATGCTCGCATCATTGTCAAGCCGCGCTCGCTCCCTGCCTCTCTCTCCCACTCTCTATCTCTCGCTCGCTCTCTTTCTCTTTCCCACTCTCTCTTTCTCTCCCACTGTCTGTTCGTTTTACTTAAAACAAATTCCCAGCTCGCGCTCTGTTTTATTTATGGCATCTTCTATCTTGAGCTAGGGACAGGCGCACAATTTGGATCTCTATTGGCTCGCTAGTGGCCCCGTTATGTTAGGGCATCCAAGAAGAAGAAGAAACAGCAGACCGAAGATTAAATACTCTTTTAAATATGCGCTTGGGCAATGCTTTCATACTGATTGTTACTATAGAAGTGATATAATATAGTATTCGAAGCATAGCCCGTCAGATTTGAGTATCTTTAGAAAAAGGTATGTATCCATGCTAAAGTCTTTATTATCTGACCGATAATTCCTATTATATAGCCATCCGATGTTGATAAGATACGCTTTATATATGAAGAACTTATAAATGTCAAGTTGGGTCAAGGTACCATCAGAAATATTCGATTGGTTAAGCGTATGGCGACATATACCTTGCCTATATAATGTTTTATGTTCTCATTGTTTCGACTGTTGATGCGGAACATGAATATATATACTTTATAGCCTCTCATATGCCAACTTCTAAGCATGGCACATCTCGCGACATAGTTAAAGTATCCACTGCAAGGGTATACGATGAAGAAAGACAAAGGAACTGAAGACCGCCTCATTCAACAGTCGAGCGACTTTTTCGTCTTGTGCTCGGCTTTGCGTTCCTTTTGTCGGTTCGCTGTCCGTTTCAAGGACCCGCGAAATGTACAGTTATGCAAGAAATACACAGCAATTTGATCGATGGACCGTTCGGAATGTTTTCTTGTGTATAAAAAAGAAGATGAAGAGAAAAAGAAACCATATCGAGTTTCAGGCCAAATAACAGTATTGACAGGTCATTTGGATTTGTTTAAACTAAAAAACCAAACCAACTTTTTCAAAATAAACTAGGTTGGATTTTGGTAAATAATGAGCTATGCGGGAAGACACAGCGTTTTTTTAATCCAAAAATGTAATTTTTTAACTCTTAAATGCTTTAAATAAGTTTAATTCGAATCGAAATAATAAAGTTTATTTGTTTCTTTGTAAAATATCGAGCGCTGGGCTTAATCTATCTGCTCAACTAATTGATCTAGCTTTATTCCCATATAAAATCTATATTTATCTTATATTGCTATTAAATAAAACAAACTTAATCTGCTTATAATATTCCAGATGTTTGATGACTCTAGCTCTTAAAACCTAAAAGATGTGCTCAAAGAACAGAATTTCAAGCTAGCATTTATCGGAAAGAAATTCGTACTGCTACAGATATACGGACGAACGGAAAATGGACATGGCTAGCTCGACTCGGCTATTAATGCTGATCAAGAAAATATATACTCTGTGGGGTTTGGAGATGCTTCCTTCTGTCTGTTATATATATTTACACCAAAGCACAAAAAATAATAATAAAAGCAATTTTAACTCGCTTAATAAAATTACTCTTAATTTGATTAGTCTTTGTTTCTTATATAAATAATATAATCAGACAGTAGTGAGGCTCAAGACTTGAACCCAAAGTTAGCTGCTGCACATTTTTTTTTACAATTTCCGAGCCCAATCAGTCAATCAATCAATTAGTCAGTCAATCAGGATAAATTCTTTTATATGTAAGAAATTAAAATCGCGCAAGAAAAATTTTTTATGTGTGACCATTTTTCTTGCTTCATAAATGATATATTTAAGATATTATCCTTTTGTTTCCATCTTTAATTTAAGCTGAAAATCATTTTAAGAAATAATTCAATTCTTATTGAGTTTTAGTTCTTTTTTTTTTATTACCAAAAATCAAGGCATGCCACATATGACACACACACTTGCATGCACAATGAGTGCACACACATGTGTCTACATATTTGGTTAGTGTGTGTGTGCGTGTGTGTGTCCATAAAAACCACCCCAAATGCCGACCAATTCGTGACTTCCAATTGGCATTAACGTGTGCGCGTGTCCAATCAGTTTGCTGGCGCCATCTATGGCCGAAACGGCGAAACAGTGGCGGCCAACAGGTGGCGTTTGCCCAGCCAGCCAAACATTTAATCAAAATTCAATCAAATCAATGCAAAAAGTAACAAAAAACAAACATAGCAGTAGAAAACAATAAGCTGTGATACATTCCTTCCAATTGGAGTTCGAAATGAAAGCCAATTAGCTGCTGCGCTTGAAAGTATGCAATACAAGATCGTTGCCATAAAAGTAGGTGCCATAAAAAGCAAAGACACAAACCCTGAGCCACAGATCAATATGTGAGCATTTGGAAAAAGATCGTACAATTCCGAGTGGTCCCTTCGGATGCGTTATGGGGCTTACGAGCAACCCACACATGCACACATACACACACACACACACATTCTCACACACACATATACAACGGCCGTTAAATACAGTTGTGTGCCTTTATTTACAAACATGTGTGTGCGAAGTCGAAATGGACGTCCGCAACTTGTCTGTTTCTCCCTCACACACACACACACACACACACACACAAACAGAGCGAGCGAGTGAGCGAATGAGCGAGAGAGAGAGAGAGAGAAAGAGAGCCACCCTCGCCTTTACATATGGCCAAAAGTAAGGTCCGTGATAAAGCGCAAGACATGGCCCGGGTGGTTTTTGCCCATGGGCCAAGTGTGAGCTGGGGCAGCGGGGCAAGGGCTGGCCAGGCGGGCTGCTGCAACTGTTAGGCATGCCCGTCTCTATATGCTAAAATATTTTGCAAGCAAGTCTCGTGTGCGCTACGTGTATGTGTGTGTGTGTTGGTGGTGGCGGTGCTGGTGGTGGTGGTGATTCGCACTGGTCACACGGCCCAGTGGTGGGTTGCATACATTTCGCGAATGTTTGCCCGTCCAGAGTCGGAACGAGAACCAGAACAGAGCAGACCAAGCAATATCTAAGCACCCAAAGCAAAGACCCACACCACTGCACCACCCCAACCACACAACCACCCAGCGTGCCAACTCGCTCGCTTGTTCCTTTTGTTGTATGTTATGGCCATATAATGGCAGCACACACACACAGAGACACATACAGAGAGTGGGAGAGGGAAACCACCCTCTTGGCTCCACGAACAGCTCCCTTGCGTCTAGCTGCTGGCCGGGGCTACCTTTTGCTGCTGTTGCCAAACTCCCCTCCCCCCCTAACCCATCCACCATTCCCCCCTGCCACATCCGGCTGCATCATCAGCGCAACAATGTTCGCAAAAAGGACATTTTATATGTGCGCCATAAAGGCATTAGCATTATCGCTCGTTATGTCCTTGCGCGCTTAGTACCCTCTACCCTCACACCCAATCACACCCCCCGCCCGCCACCCACCCCTCTGTCTGTGTGTGTGCCTGTCCACCCTCAAAGCTCAAAGCGCGACAACGGCATATGCAAATGAGTTGAATTCGCAGAAGCCATCAATACATAGTTGGGCAAATTTCAAATTCGAATCCAATAAAGTGCTCGCTCGATATATTGAACAACTGCCCAGCTGGGGCTGCCACTCGCCGTGAGTTGCCAGTGTTGCCTGTGGCTTTTGTGGCTTTTGTGATTCATTTCACATTCGCATCGGCACATTTAGTTGGAGAATAAAGCTTTATTACATTTCTCGAAAGCTTTGCGCTTTAAGGCTATTTTCGCTGAAAGGTCACATTCAGGCTAAACTCCAGAAAAGAGACGCTGAAAAATATATTTTTCCATATTTTTAAAAGAATTGATGGTAATTAAGCAACAGCTTTTGTGAGCTTTAGTTGGCCTGTATACAACATTAGATCAAGCTCTCTTTAAGGATACAAAGTTAGATCAATCTTTTTCGCAGATTTGATGGCATTTGAGAAACAGCTTCGGCGAACAATTATTTGACATAGTTCAATTAACAAAGGCTACAAGTACAGCTCTAGTTCTATACATCAGACACTAAAAAATCACATTCTTTAAAGATTTTACTAAAACATTCGGAAGCTCTTTAGTTGAGATATGTAAAACCTAATAACATCGGCAAAAAATAACTTTTATTTAGCTGTTATTACCTTAGCTTGTTTCAAAGAATATTTACTGCAATTTTTAAGCCAGAGCTTTGAATTTACATTAGTTTTAGCTTTTAGGCAAATGTTTGGAAAAGCGGTAGGCTCTCAGCTTCTTGAAGCTTACCACATAACATTTTTTATCGATTGTCCATTATTTAGGTGCTCTAAAGTTCTTAAAGCTCATAGTACTTGTTCAAGAATATAGTTAAAATACCTTTTGCAGTAAATGTACAACTACTTACGTAGCTGGGCAAAGCTTTTGTGAATCGAAACAGTTAATGAACTGAAAGACACCATAGAAATACAGACAAAGCACGGTTTGATCTCTGATTAATATAAATGAGCTTTAGCAATCATTGCGAGCTTTTATAACAAAAAGCATGATAGAGCGGAAGAGTGTGTGAAAGGGAGAAAGAGGGAGAATATGAGAGAGAGAGAGCGAGAGAGAGGGAGAGAGTCTAATATACTGAACTGTAGATAATCGACTTGAGCTTTAGGTTTACATTGGCCTTGATATGTTCAATCTCAAGCGCTGGCCACACACACAGACACATATGCATTAGAGCCAAAAGCAAAGGCTTTGCTGCTGGTCGCAGTTATTGCCCGTAACATGTGCTCCAAAAGCCAAGAGCCAAAAGCAAAAGAAATTGAGTCAAGCATATATATTTGTGTGTGTGTGCGTATATGCATGCATATATATATTTATATATACATATATGATCCGCATTCGTACATAGATTTTATGTACTGGCAAGCATCCAAAGCGCATTAATCTAACGACCACATCCGGCACACAAAAGCTTAAGCCGCGCCTCGGCCCAGACGACTCCAAGCTCGAACTGTGGTCGCCTTTTTGTGTGTGTGTGTGTGTGTGTGTGTGTGTGTGTGTGCGTGTCCTTATACATTGCTTATGCTTATGTCCCTTACATATTTGTCATTTGGATGCTGCTGGCGATGTTCGCAGCGTTTGCAAATTCCCGATTTTGCACAAATCCAGCCAAGCTGTGTGTATCTCGCTTTCTCACTCTCTCTCGCTCTCCCCCACTTACTCTCTCTCTCTCTCTCTGTGTCGCTTTGTTTGTCGCTGTTTCTCTCTCTCTCTCTCTCTCACTCTCTCTTTTTGCTCGCGCTCTATGCAAATGCGACGGGCTTGTCCACGCCCCTGAGACGATGTGTACGAGATGTTTTGCATATCAAAAATATAAATCACTTGGCATAAGACCAGCATCCAAAACCTTTACCCCTGCCCCCATCTAGCTTTGCCTTTCTATAATCACCCCCACCCTCACACCACCCCTCCCACCCACACACTCCCTATTCGCCAACGGACCTGGCTCCATCAATGGTTAGATGGATGACGGCCTCTGCTCGGCACTCGAATCGAATCGTTTTGGTTTTTGCAATATTTTTTTTTTTATTTTTCTTTTGGCACACAGTATGTGTGTGTGTGTGTGTTTGTGTGTGTGTGTTTTATTTAGAATTCGACAGCTCGTTCCATTTGATTTTATTGCCCCAAGCGCGACCCGAGCCGGGAACCACATTCATGCCAAGCATTTCAGCCACACTTTGGTCTGCAGTCCGCAGCTAACAACATTCCGCAATCGACTAACATTTGCTGCCTCTTCCTCTTCTACTTCGACTTCTTCTTCTTCAGCGAAACACCACCCCAGTCACCCAACGATAGACCACCCACTCGACAGGCGGCACAGTTAGCGCCAGTTTGAACACTTTTTGCGCAAATGTTTTCGGTTTAGCGTTCGAATTCCGAAACAGTACAGTTGAGTATGCCACAGCATGGCATTTTTGTAGCACACACACTCACACACACTGAGGCACACACATGTCTATATATGCTATTGTGTGTGGTACATGCGCGCACACACACACACACACAGACACCCACATACACACTCACAGAGGGAGAAAGATGAAGAGAGAGAGAGTGAGCTAGGAGAGCGGGGGGATGAGGTTGAGTGGAGCGAAAAAGCTGCTTTTAAGAAATTGTCTTGTCGAGAGGTCAACACAAATCGAACCAAATCAACTTAAAAGCTGCAAAAACAACAAATGCCAGAGATTAAACGCACCTGCGATAAATATATATCTAGATAGATACATATATAGGTATTTAGGTATATAGATATATAGATATATATATATAGATATATAGATATATAGATATATAGATATATAGATATATAGATATATAGATATATAGATATATAGATATATAGATATATAGATATATAGATATATAGATATATAGATATATAGATATATAGATATATAGATATATAGATACATAGATATATAGATATATAGATATATGGATATATAGATATATCGATATATATATAAAGA